TATCATCTGCCGTGATTATGTTGTGAATCAATAGATTGTGTGTAAACAACGCTTTGTGTTGAAATTTGAAATTTGATTTAATAAACATAATGACGTGCATCAAGGTCAAATAATTAGCAATGTATGTACCATGTGTGTAACGAAAACCATCTGTACTGTACACAAAAATGATCTGGTTCTAGAATGGCAGAAAATGACTGCCATTTGTCCGTTTTGAATGTGATTGGCCCAGGCATGACCAAGATAAAGGTGTGAACAGACAGACACAGAGGAACACAAGCATGCAAAACATCAATCTAAGTCTTTGTTTTCAGAGGCAATCCAAGCATAACTAGAGTCAGCAATGTGAGTACACAATCGGAGTGTGGAGATTGAGCGTGACGTACCAGTGACCTGGACAGTTCATCGGCTTCAAAGCAAACTTTTCTTTCTCAGATTCAAATGAAAACATGTTTTCCTACAAATACAAGAATCCGTGTAATTTAGTTTAGTTTACAGGATAACAAAAGACTAACTACAATGAATTAGACTATATGATTAAAAGTGAATTCCACTCACAGCATAATGTTGCCAGTGTCCTGAAGTCTCCCACAGCTTACTATTATAGATGTTTGGGGATACCACCTCCTGGAATCCACGAGTCCTGTACTCACTCTGAAAAACAAACAAATTAAAATATTAATATTTACTTAAATTATTTTAGTATTATTTCATAAATACACAAAATAGTTAATTAATATGCAAAGATTTTGACTCACTTTGATGTAATTGATAAGTGTGTTGTAGATATGAGCTCCTTTGGGATGAAAAAAACAGCTGCCTGGACTGAGTTCATGAAAGAAGTACAATTCCTGGTCACGTCCAATCTTCCGGTGGTCTCTCTTAGCTGCCTCCTCCTGGAAATGCTTCCATTCCTTCAGCTGTTTAGTATCAGGGAAAGAGATTCCATATATTCTTTGAAGGGATTCAGCATCTGCCTTGCCTTCCCAATAAGTTGCAGAGTTCTGAAAAGATGAAACTAGTATTTAGCTTGATAATTATGATTTTAGTTTTGGGTTGGGTTTTAGTATTTGTCAAACCTACAGGCTTTTAGTCAACCATACAT